CTTAAAAAGCGTATCTGTTGTTATATCAAAATAAATTCTCCCTCTGTTTTTGCTGACTCTAGCAGTGGCCTCGAGCTTCTCTTGGACCTCCTCCGCTGCAGTGTGCTCGAATCCCGTCGGAACAGTCGCTCCGATTGTGACAGCCTCATCAAGCTCCTGCATTATATGAGCCCCAGATACACTGCAATAGAGGAAATGAATGCGAATACAACCGACACTGCTACTGGTAGTTTTTTCCCCCTGATAATATGATTTAAGCCTAAAGTACTTTAGACATCGACTTGCATCGAGCTTGTTCTCTGTTTGCCTGCTAGTAAGCTATGCGAGCATTTGAAGGCCGAAGCATTAATACCTCAGTAGTTCGTTCAGGTGAATGGACTTAACATAGATCTCTGCAGTAAAAGTACACCATCAATATAGCTAAACCCCGGAATAAAATTAACAAGAGAAGTTACCTCTTCTTTCTTCTTCTTGATTCGTTAAACAGCGGATCGCAAACTAACAGTGCATTACCGCCACCTACTGTTAACATGAACCAAAGATCACTATCTTTTCCCCATACCTACTAGGGCTCAGACATTTGAAGTTTTTTTCCCTGATACAATTCAAATGATAAATCAAATTTTTCTTCTTTCAACTTAGTGGCGGTTGGCAAACCAACTTATAGTGCATTTCCGCCACCTACTGAGCTGGAGTGTGGTTCATTGATGGAACAGGAAGAAAGACTAAGCTGAGAAAAAAAGGAAAAAAAAAACATATAAATTAAAAAAAAACAAAAAAACTACAATTAAGGAGTTTTTTTCCCTGATACAATTCAAATGATAAATCAAATTTAATTAATGTGGTTGCATAAACTGTAAAAAAAAAAAAAAAAAAAATCAATATGAATTCAGTACAACACTGTCAAAATTACAAATACACAAATAGTTACAAATAACCACTTTAAAGTTTAATCAAACACTTTTAACCCTACATCTCAAATGAATGATGCAAATGATCAAGTGCAAATTACATGCTACATCAGGCGAGTCACTCAATACTTATAGGAGGATCTTATCAGCTACATAGTTGAAGGGATTTTGGATGCATTTTACAAAAGGATTTCCTACGCTTTGCCTCTCATGGAATACCTGCTACCATAATAAAAATGTGTTCCTCTTCATTCAGATGGTCAGTGGTACATAAAACGAATTCAAAAAGCGGGAAAAATAAATAAAAAATAAATCAGCTCCATGGTAGGTTCCAAGTGTAGGCTATGGGTTCTCAATCCTGTTCCTGGAGCTCTACCTTCTTGCAGTGTTCAATTCCAGACCTGCTCAACACACCTGTCTGTAAATATCTTCTTCTTCTTTAAATGTTATTATTATTTTAAATTAAACCAACTTAAAGGTGCATTTACCGCCACCTACTGGACTGAGACTAAGCTGAGAAAAAAAGGAAAAAAAAAACATATAAATTAAAAAAAAACAAAAAAACTACAATTAAGGAAAAGGACCACTAATAATAAATTGGCTTCTAAATCCTCTTAAACAGATGCACCTTTCTTAAATATTTCATTAATGCTTTATATACTCTATAACCTTCGTCTGTAAATATCTTCTTCTGTGGTTTTTATTAGCAGTTTGCAAACTCGGTGCATTACTGCCATCTTCTGGACTGAGGTTTGAACTCACAACAACATCAACAAAAGGAACACCAACAGAAAAAAAAAAACACCAAATAAACTTCAGAAAGTTTCTTTCAGAAAGATCATGACAGCCTTAATTATAGATTGTCCATTCTTCGTTGCCCTCTCTCTTCTTTCCTTTTTTCAGAGTACTTTCTACATGTCAAGAGTGCATGTTTTACATTTTCCACTTCTCCACAATGTATACATTATCCAGTCTTGTGTTTTCTTATTGAATTTAAGCAGCTATTTAAACACGTGTGCCCTATTCTCAACCTTGTGAGCAGCATACTTTTCTCCTGCCGTCTCAGACTACTGTACTTTTTAGCTATCACTTCTTTCTGAATGCTGTATAAATGTCTTCCTTTCTCCTTCTGATCTGTAAATATCAAGTGCTCCTGAAGATCTTAATTAGCTGGTTCAGGTGTGTTTGATTAGGGTTGGAGCTAAACTTTGCAGGAAGTTAGATCTCCAGGAACAGGAGTGAAAATCCAAGGGCATTCTTTTTAAAATCATTGCATGTGTTCCGCCAGTAGTGGGCACTCATGCAAAGTAAGCAATGACTAGTGGTCCAGTGGTTGGAACAGTCTAGTACAGGGGTGCCCAAACTCAGTCCTGGAGGGCCGGTGTCCTGCAGAGTTTAGCTCCAACTTGCCTCAACACACCTGCCGGGAAGTTTCTAGTATGCCTAGTAAGACCTTGATTAGCTGGTTCAGGTGTGTTTAATTAGGGTTGGAGCTAAACTCTGCAGGACACCAGCCCTCCAGGACCGAGTTTGGGCACCCCTGGTCTAGTATGCCTCCACAGTTTACGGTGCAATTACGGTGAATTGCTGGTAACGCTGTAATATTTTCCTTATTTTTCAATTACTGCTGCCATAACAGTAATGATATATGTATAATTATTATTTATTTTTGTAATTGTAGTATTGTGATACTAATAAAAATTGAATGAATGAGAATCATATGACAACCGTATGTGGTCTCCCGATGGTTTTCATCATGCAATTTAGCATTGGGTGATTAATTTACAGCAAAACAAAAGAAAAGAAGAAGTTGACAAGGGAAGGGCATAAAAATTGGAAGTGGAACTGGATTGTCATCAGTCATTGTTACATATTCATAATTCCTCTATGACTTGTATGCCGACCTGAACAAATGATTCTTGTTTAGGAACGAGATGCCCAGTTCATTTAATTCGAATGTGCTTACTATGGATTTAAAAGATTTCTGTAAAGTTGCAAAGACTAAAGTCTCAAATCCAAAGAGATATTCTTTATAAAAGTTAAGAGTCAGCCACACCTACCTAAAACGGCTCGTTCTAACACGCCCCCACATATCTACGTCGCTATGTGGGAAGATTTGCATAACGCCGCCCAAATGTTCACGCGAAGAAAGAAAGAAAGCGTAACTTTTATTCTCGCTGTATTGTTGCTGCAGCCATGTTGTGAATGCGCTGTGTGATTCGTTGTGAAAGCGAAACTACTTTGTTTGGCCTTCCAAAAGAGGACGTCCCCCGGCCTCTGCTCACTCAAGGCCGCCGTGTGTGACGCTGTGTAAAAGCTACTTTGTTTGGCCTTCCAAAAATGGACACGACTAGAAATCAGTGGTTAAGTTGTATTTACAACACTGTTCAAGAACACTTCAACCCAAATATTCGGATGTGTGCAGCACATTTTATGGAGGACTGTTTCCTGATACTTGGCTTCACTTTACTTCACATCACATCACTAATTAACCTTGCATGTGTAAGTTGATTTATACGTCTGTATAGGCAGAATTCTGATATAAAGATGTGATTGATCAGATTTTAATACAAAATGTGATGACCAAATGTGGAGTTGGGTAAAATACTGTCATTAAATTACGCAAGCTTATAGTTTACTGGGTAGCAATCATCAACAACAAATTCTTTTAAAATTATTTTGTTACCGTTTTACAACTTTGTTGCAGAATATTTTTTTGAAGAAGAATTCCATTCTATGTCACTGAATCTATTATTCCAAAAAGAAGCAGGTAAAGAGATCTGGGCCCGTATTCACAAAACATTTTATCTTACTACTAAGAGTTCTCCTAAATAGCAGTAAAAGTTTTTAGCTAAGAGTTTTCTCTTAAAACCTATTCACAAAGCTGCTGAGACAAACTTTACTAAGGAATAGAGAGAAGTCTTAAAGGGTGTGTTAGAATGAGCCGTTTTAGGTAGGTGTGGCTGACTCTTAACTTTTATGGAGAATATCTCTTTGGATTTGAGACTTTAGTCTTTGCAACTTTTTATGCACCAAGAGCTTGTAACACTCCAAAGAGAAAGGAAAAATTGAAATTGCATAATTTGACCCCTTTAAACTAAGAGTAAGAGCAGGGTTGACCTCCTTGCTATGGATGATGCCAGCATGCTTACTAACTATGCACACAGTGATTGGCTGATAGTCTCAGTCAAAGATTTATTCATAGAAATATTGTAGAGCACAATATTATGTTGCCGTATTCAAATAAAATGTTAATTGCTACATTCAAATAAAGATTTTAAAATGCAGGATAAGTGTCACTAATTAAACAAGTATATGTTCAGCTTATTGTCAGCCTCTTACATTTATTCTTCTCAAAAATAATTAGCAGATAAGCATATAAACAGCCTTTTAATGAACAGAGTAGAATAATCATGGCTGATATAGTAATGCATGCAAACGTAAAAGAAAACCAAACTAGATGCAAGAACAGCTGTTACTTCTTGCCCAACTGGTTAATGAAAACAAGGATATAATCAAAGGAAAATTTTGAGTTGGGGTAACCTCCAAAACCAGAGGTGATATGATACCTTTTTAAAAGTTCATTATCATCAAATGTTTCTAAAATGTTTACATTCAGAGGCAGATTGCCGGCAACAGCCATTTTATGATAGTTTGTGGCTTGGTCTTAGTGACTTAGGAGTCCTCTTCACTACTCCTAGCGTGCTAAAACGCTTTGTTAAATACTCTTAGAGCAAACATTTAGGAGTCCTAAATTTAGGACGGACATGCCCATTATTTTTAAGATTTTATCCTAAATCAGCGAATTATGAGCTACTTTTAGCCTTAAGATGTTTTGTGACTATGGGCCCTGAGTTCTATTCAGGATTGATCTTTATTTGTTTTTTTGTAGCAACTACACATGAATAGACATAGTCAGTGAAAAGAGTTGTCAAAACTGGGAGCTTTGGTTACACTTTAAATAAAGAATTAAAACGAATGGCGTCCTCAACATATCTGACCAATTAGAAACTACGTCCGGGTCGCCTTTCATGGAACCGAAGCTTTTCGTTAGTTTCCCTTCTAATGATTCATTTCTGTATACGAAACCTTTTCACTTTGAAAAGCTGTTGCAGCGCGTTATGCTGGCTGTGAAAAGGGCCACTAAATTGCAAAGCACCAATTTTTAAATGGACATCAGTTTTAACTACAAACCAAGCGACCGACCTGTGCAAACAACAATAATGGGAATTTCATAATCAATGTTGTTTTTTTTATTATTTTTTTTATAATTATTTTTTGTACCTTACACCGAGTAAATCACACAGTGGACATTGTGGTCAGCGTGCGAATTTGCGTTGTTCATAAATCTTCCAAGTTGGATAAACTTTTTCCAAACACAAAAGCAGAGTAACGTGGAGACAAGGTAAGTGAGTTACAAATGTGTGCGCTGTAATAATGGTTATGTAAATGTTTTACAGTATAGAGTAGTGTAGAAATTCGTACATCGTGTCGTTATATTCATGCTGAAGTTAAGGTAATTTGTTTTAGATTTCCGATTGTGAATGGGCTTTAAACAAAGTAGCTATGGTCTAATGGGACCCAAAACCCATGAGACTCTTCAACCACTTTAAAGTCGTAGATGATTTACCTTTTGATTACACGAATCGTGGATTAAAAGTGTTGTATGTTGTCCTGTTCTCGAACTGGATTTAAGACAGGCCATGAATTTACCATAGGTTAGAATGCAGAATACAAGCAAATTATTGTTTGGGATACAATGTAATTTATCTTCTTGCTAAATACAGTTGTTCTTGAAGATGCAATTTTGGTTAGAAGTGTTATACAACGATATATAATATTGTATGTAAATGAAGAAGTGATTTGAGATGATGATGATGATAATATACGTTATCTAAAGTTAATTTAAATGTTTTTTTTTTTTGCATTTAGGATGAGGCATATCTACCACAAATTAAAACATAATACAATAAAACATAACACAAGTAAAAACAACAACAACACTTTTTCATCAAAACAATGCATTCCTATGCACCTATTCACACCAGGGAAGAAATTTTGTCTTATGACAGAATGTGATCTTTTAAAAGAATTATTGAATTTATCAGGACAATAAGGAATTATTTTTGTATCTAGTGTCTGGACATATTTGCTGCTACACATAGTAGTCTATTCGGTGGTGCCATATCTGTTTTGAAAATCGGCAAAAAATAAAAGAGAGAGAGAGAATTGTTGAGTTTGTTGTCCTGCTAGGGAAAGCTTGATGATAACACTTCTACTCTTCTTCTAACCACAGGGGTCTTATGCATCCTCTTTAAATTTGGCATTAACATTCATCTCAGCTGATCTGTTCACAAGTAGATAGTGTTAAATACAGGTGTAAACAGACTCCAAACTTTCTTTTATTTTTTTGTTTATTGCAATCACACTTCAACAGTTGGTTGCCAGGGATAAGCAGTTCTGGGAAAATTCTGCGAATAGTGAATAATGACTGAAATTTTATTTGTCACACAAAGCTATCAGAAGGCTTGGAATATAGGACATGAGCCCCCTTTCACTTTAATTATAAGAATACTACAAAGAACAATATATATTTAAAATATAACCATAATTTGTTCCCCCAGAAGAGAAATTCTTATGGTTTTGGAACAACATGAGGGTGTGTAAATGACAGAATTTCCATTTTTGCATGGGTGAATTATTTGCAGTTTTGGGATGGGTGGTAGATATGGACCAAAAAAGGGTGATAAACTTTATATCATAGCATGAAATGAAAATTCACAAATTTGTAAAGTCTTGTTATTTTTTATTTTGACCACATAATGTTTAACTAAAATGTCATAACCTAATCTTTCGGTAAAAAAATGACAGACTTCTCACTTGTTGTGTATGCTGGACTTCTCCAGTAATTTTGTCCGCTTAAACCCTGTCCCTCCATGATTGCAAGTTTGCATTTATTTTTGAGTGAAATGCCCATATCTCAATATCCAATCAGCAACCAATGGATAGTCCCAGCCCTACATTTTTTTCAATTCTGTTACACTCAGTATGTTGTACATACTGTTAAACAAAGTATGTTACTATATGAAAAAGATGTCACCACTTTCGTTTCATAGCGACTTATAAATAAATAAAAGAATAATACTTGGAATGTACATATTGCAGAGATTTGTGTAGCTTCAGTTAACAAAACGTTAAAAAAAAACGTTGCTTGATTAAAACTTTTTTCATATATGATATATATATATATTGCAACCTTGAGTATCTGACAATACTGATCCATAGTGTTTCAGAATATCTATAGCTTATTAACTTGCTAACTACACACTACTACATTATAAGTGAAAACATAAAAATACATAAAATATTACATAAATGATATTTAATGTAACAAAATAAATTATATTGTAAAATAGGCTACTTTTTAATACAAATTTTATTACTACATAAATATATACACTGTATAAACAATGTGTTATTTACTAGGACAACAGACGTGATGCATACAATAAAACAAATATATAGGCTAAACATTAAAGCTACATTATGTAACTTTAGGCTCTCTAGTGGTTGAAGCAAGTTGCTTGTGGAGGAACTTTGTTTTGGGAATTACGTGAGTTGTGCTTTTCTGTGTGGATCAATCTAATGGCGAATTTCATCAAAAAATAATAGCATACTCTCTTGGGGGATTGGATTTACAATTCCATTTAAATAAAGAATTAAAAAGAAGCGATATGATCCTATGTTAAACATACACAGACAAATGATGATAGTATGCAGTTTCCTAGGAAATCCATCCCAACAAGTGTTATTTAAATTGTTAATTTCAAACAGAAAAGTGACATAGTGTAGCTTTAGTTATCTTTTATTGCAAAAACTGTATGAAAGGCTCCAATGCAGAGCGGCACAAAAGCATTTTATGCACATTCTGGGTAGGCCTGTCACGATAACAACTTTTTGTTGTGCGATATATTGCCCCAGAAATAATTGCATCGAGTATAAATAAAAACCATCGAGTATAAATCAGCCTTAAATCAGCCTTGAGCGTGTGTGCGTTAGATACAGTGAAGACAGCGCGTTAGTTTAGAACTCTTCTAATTTTTTTTTTAATCGTAGAGAGTGTGTTAATTTGTGCAATGATAACCTACCAGCAATGTAAATTATTTTTTAAAAATATATTAGAATGAGTACATTACAATATAAATTTATTAGAACAAGTACATTATTATTTATGGGCTTAAAAACAAGATGCAAACAATCAGAATA